TCGAGCTTGCATTTCTACAAAGGAGGCTTTTCAGGTTCAGCATGGCTATTACAAAACATCTTTGAGCTGGGAGGCCTGAAATGCAGAGTGGGAATTTCTGTACGTACATTTAAGTAAGGATACAGAGGCAGCACGTGGTTAGCAAGGTCTGCCAGAGAACCAGCATTAAGCAATTAATTGGTTCTGGACTAACGCTGATGGACTTTTTTTTCCTTTCACTGCAGGAATTAGATACTCCATTTAGGCTGTACGGACTGACCATGAATCCATTAATCTACAATATAACACGTGTTGTAATACTCTCTGCTGTCTCAGGTGTTATAAGTGATCTTCTAGGATTCAATATCAGAGTAAGTACAACTCCCACACAGACTCCCACCGCTGAATTCCTCCCACCCAAGCAGAAAGGGCATGGGTTTGAATGGCTGGTAATTCAGAGACCAGCCCACCAGGAATGAACCTCCAGCTCCCTGAGCCAGGCTAGGGGGGAGCACAGGGCTGACTTAACCTTCGGCCCCGTTCAGGGCTTCGGTGTGTTACTCAGAATCCTGGGTTCCTTCGTTCAGAATGAGCACAGTCCTCCTGCGGCTCACACTGCGACATTTGAGCTCGCTGAGCAGAGAGCATCCAACGCAGGATGGGCAAAGAGACCGAGTCTTACCTGTAGATGAAAAGCGCTCAGACCTTCGGCTGTCTGACCCATACTCACTCTCAGTATCTCTCTCCAGTTATGGAAAATTAAACCGTGAACTGACCCAACGTCGGCACTCAGCCCTCTGCCCCCAGGACAGACCAGAGGAGATGACAAACCGCTTGGGCAAAAAGCTCTCCAACTACGGAAATCTGTAATAATGATTTTTTAAGCAGATTCTCAGTGTACGTATCGGAAGTTCTCCCTCTGCTTTACTGTTCAACATAAACTGGTCTAACGAGTGATGCTATCCTCTGGCACGCGCACAGCATAGAACAGAATTAACGGGGCAAACACTAGTAGCTGGCGTTGAAAATGGCAGAGCTCTGTGCGCAGGGTGGGGCATCAAACGGGAAAAGCCGTGCGAGAGCTCCATGAGGGACACCGGCGATCACTACAGGGGCCTTGTTTCTGCAACATCGACTCCTCCACTGTGACGGGGAGGAGCCAGCCCTCCCGCCTCAGCTCCATCCTGGAGCTATGCTGAAATGCATCCCTCAGGGTTCTGCTCGGACTGATACTACTTAGATGCTTAATCTGAAGGCGCTGAGGAATATTTCCTTTCTTAAAAGCTCAGCGTGCGCGAGGCTTTGCCTCTTTATCCTGAAGTACCGCGGGACGCAGCGACATTCGCTCTGCACACCATGAATTCTGCCTCCACGGTGACAGTTAAGCAATATAACATGCTGGCTGGCTTACACTGCGTCTTCTGCAAATAAATAAGAATTTTTTGAAAACATTACTTACATGAGAATGGCCTTACACCCCAAACTACACTACAAGAACACAGTATGTTCCGTTGTCTGTTCCCGAGGCAGCTTTGCTCCGTGCTGCGAGAAGCCGCAGCAGCTCGGCACTTGCCTGACACTGGAACCTGAGGAAGAAATCTTGTGAGGATCAGTTGAGCAGCAGAGAGGAGCAGAGGCTTCCTCACCCAAAGGCAGATTAACGTTTAGAAAGGGCATAGGAGAGACACAAAACGTTTTAAAGACATCTCTGTTAAACCTACGTTTCCCTTAATGGACTCTACTGTCTTCTATTGTGTCAGTAATGAAAAAAAGTAAAAACCGAGGATTTGCGCAGCTTCATTCTTTCAGGTGAGGGGTAAGCAAGGTGGCGTAAGAACTTTTGGTGGTAAATTGTTTACAGCTATTTTCTGTACAAGGAGAAGTTGTAAGATGTAAAAGGAGATGACAATTTTATATATCAAAATGTACAAATAAACCTACAGTACAAGTATTTAATCATTAACAGTTGTTTCTACATGACTTGATGATTTTTATAATACCTTTGTTGAACATTTGTTATTCCAATAATAAATTGCATTTGTTTTCCAGAAGAGTATTACGTTTGTGGGTAGAAGCTGGGTCATGGACTGAGCTGTTCAAAATATCACACCACTGAAAGTCAACAAAGAATCTATTTTATACAGTGCAGAACCAACAGGCCATGAACTGGAGTTTCTTTTTAATATCTATATAAAAAATAATGAGCGATTTACAGGTCTCTCTCTAGTCAGAACCTCAGAAGTATGTATAAAGGTGCTGTACAGTATATAAACATTTACACCCAGTACATCCATACATTGCTTAGCATTCCAAGGCCACGTTGCTAAGTCATCTCATACAGTAAGTACAGGTACAAGTTCTATGGAAGGAGAAATCACACACAGGTAAGACACTAAATCAGGTCACATTAACATACAGAAAAAATATAGGGGCGGTTGATGGCAGGGAAATAATTGCAGTGGTGCTAATTCATCTTCGTATTCAACGTCTGGATTTGTTACTGTACTCGGTGGTTAGGGCAAGTGCATACAACTGAACATAAAACAATCTCTTGTTAAGAATACATGGTTAATATCTACATAGGCTACTTCAAAGTATTAAATATTTTCACAGTCATACTCCACAACAGGGAGTATTTGTACGTATTACGCTACGCAGCAAATCTCAATGGATCATCCAACGTCAAGCAGCAGAGCACAGTTCAGATCTGCTTTAAAGCCTATTTAATTTTCAAAGTCTTTGTTTAAATTGAGTAGTCATCTGTGCTTCTAAAGAATTCAACTCAGAACTGATTCACTGTGCTTCATTAAGCTTTAAAAACATTAAATGTTTCAAAGCCAAAACAAGATACTCACTTTCCAATAGCAAACCCTATTAGTTTGAATTTTAACACGAGTAAGTAAAGCTTGACCTTTTACACTTCTTTCTCCTGCAGACTGCACCGACGGGCTCCTTTTCCCATTTTTCTGCAGTCATTAAAAACCTAACATCAGGAATTCATCACTAAAGCTATGAAGAAAATAAACCCCTTCGATTTATGCAGCCTGCTGTTCTTACAGCTGTAGGACTGCGTGTCCACAGCTTCTGGCGGTAACACCCCTCTTCTTAAACACTGTATTACAGCCCAACAACAGGCATTAAGTCTCCTGTACCCGGTGTATCAGCCTGTTCAGCACTCCTAGAACAGATCACACAGGCGAAACAACACGTGGGAGACTTCTAATATACACAGGCAAGAACTTAAGAAAGCTACTATGGCAGTTGGTTCTGTCCTAAAGGTCAGTTGTTACCTCCACGGAGGGAAAAATCCGATTCCTAGCTAGCATTAAATAATTAGAGATGGGACTTCAGCATACAGCACCACAATGAGGCCGAAAATAAAGGCGCGCTCATTGCTTGCGTTCACAGAATGCCGGGATGACGCGGTGCCAACAAGGGAAACCCGAGGAGTTATGTTATTTAACAGAACCCAGGATTTTCTCTTTTCAGACAGACGTTTGCAAACAGTTGTTATAAGCATCCTTATGACTCAAGAAAATAAAGCAATTTTGCTGTGTTCATAAAAAGCAAAATTACAAAACATTGATTATGCCAAATAGAATTTTTATCTACACGATTTTGTATTAGGTATAAAAATTTAAGAAAAACATCAATTGAACAGCATCAGTGGCTCATTTTCTGCCCTAGAATTGATAGAACCAACTCAACCATCTTCTTACTGGACCAGTAAGAACATGTGTATTTCCTTATGTAAACATGCAACATGCTCTTGACAAAAATACCCATTTCAAACAAAACCTTGCCTTTTCTGTGACTGGAATACCTACGAGAAGGATTAGACTGACTGGATACAGCAGATAACTTGGCACAAGAACAAGAAGTGAGTCATGATCACATTGGCAATATAGGCATTAAATAATTTTGTTCAGAAACTCACAATACTATCTGAGAAAGCCGTAGCAGTGCAACGTTGAGAGCAGCAGAACACCGCCGTCAAGAGGACAAGGGGACAGCAGCTTATGGAAGAGTTTCATTTAAGCAATCCAAAAGGTCCTTCATGCAGCTTAGATAATTTAAGAACGAATCAAATACTTTCCACCCTCTAACCAGTTTCTGAAAAAAACACAACAATTTTGTGAAAAGAAACAATGCTTTTGAATGACCATTATTAGAAACGTGATTAAAACGTTTTAAAAAAAAAAAAGAAGCGTCAGTCAGACCCGTTTTTCAGCCACACCTGCTGTTTGGGTGACTTTACAGGTGCTTGGTACCCTCCAAGGTCCAGGAGTTATCGGTGTTTTCTTGACTGGAGAACTACTCTCAGATTTGGAAATACCATCATCTTTGGTTTCATCGGGCAGCTCCATGTGTCTCTCTCCGCGTTGTCTGTTCAGCGTAACAGTCTCCTGTGTTTCTAGCCTTCTTTGTTTCTCCATGGAAAGCAGCGGAATATTGGAAAGACTGGAAGTTTTGAATCTGCTGGAACTTGGCTCTCCAGAGGCTGACTTCTTCATTTTTTCGCCTTCAGATGTGTTTCTCCTAGAGTCACTGAGGGGAAGATTACTCTCACCAAATGCTGCATATTGCCACTCTGGAGACCACCCTTCCGTCTTTCCAGCAGTTTTCTGCTTTGTGTCTTTCCTGGTGACTCCTGGTTTACCATTTCCACCTTTCAATTGCTCAACAGTCATCCTATCACCACCAGCTGTCCTGTCTTGATAATCTTGTAACCTGCCTACCGCGTCTACGTTTCCTGGCTTACCGAGATGCTTTTGGGGACTGGCAGACCTTCCTTGATTTCCACTGGAATACTCTTTCTTGTTACTATTGTTCATCGTGATTTCTGTGGGTTTACTCTCACTCTTTCTGGAACCGTCAGATTTATGTGAGAGATTGCCGTAGCTTCTTTCAGGATCCCCTTTTCTGGGGTTGTGGAATCCCGTGTGAGCGTGTCCCTCAGCAGCCACTAACCTTTCTGGACTCGCAGATCTGTCTCTTCTGGTCCTTAATTCCAAATTACCTTTTGTGATTTCAAACCCAGGGCTGGAAGGACATTCCTGTCTGTTCTTTGTTCTCCGGGGAGAAGACTGAGGCTTCATCTCAAACTGGTTTTCAGTTAAAGTGCTTATCTTTTCAGGCACAGTGTTCTTTGCTTGTTCCAGTTTCTCAGACAGCTGAACTCTTGTTAAAGCTTCTCCTGGTACTGGTAAATAACACACTTCAGATGGGGAAGCAGAATGTGAAGATGAAGATAATGGTGACTGTTCTTCATATATTACATTTGACGAAGATGGATTATAACTATCCCAATCACCTGGAAGTGAACAGTGAGAGATTTGACTAAATGACTACCAAAAAATTTAAAATCTCTTAAATATTTTAGAAACGTGCATACTACTGAGGTTCCAGGATGTTATAATGAAATCTTCAATTTAAAAAAGATAATGTAGTGGCACACTCTCAAAGTCTTATTTAGTCAGTTTTCTGTCTTGCACTGTTCTACAACCTACAACAACCATAAGGATGTGATTTGGGGAAAAAAAACTTGTGCTTGGAATGCTGGCATGATCTCTGTGGGACTGACACGGTCTTGTATCAGCACAACTTTGGAGCCTACATAGCACAATTGCAAAACAGAAAGTCCCTGACCTACATTGTTTAATATAAGAAAACCAAATGAACTGAAACTGTTATGCTAAAAGAAAACTGAAAATGGTGAAAAGCTGAGGTTATTCATAGCTTTGCACTTTAATAATAGGAAGAGATGAAACACAAGACATGCAGATTTACCAAGTCTTTAAGGAAAAACCAAGAAAAGCACTGAAAGCCCTTAATGTTGCTCAGGTTTCACGTAGGGACACAGACTGGAAGGAGCCAAACCTGAAGGAGGAAGAGAAAAAGCCCAGAACTACATACCAAAATCACAGAGTACAGCAAGCAAGATTTCAATCAGAAATGTATGATTAACAGCAAGACAGGAGGCAACAAAACCCTTCCCCTCTCCACAGCTGCTGATCTCATCTAAGTTGCTGAACCCAGTCGCAGACCCCACTGACACAGGGCTGGACCAGACGGTCTCCGGAGGTTCCTTCAGACTTTTCTGGGATTCTGAGTTTCCACCTCAGGCTCAGGAGACTTCGGTGAACATGAGGGCCAGGACTGATTCCAGACAACTACTGCACAGCCCTCGTGGTGCAGGATAAATGGCATTTATCGCTGCTGAAATGATACCAAGCTTAAATAGCTGTTGGTGAGGAGAGCTGCAGATGCCTCACGCTGCCTCCCTCTCCTCTAGCTGGTCAGTGCTGGACCTCGAGAGAAGCTCCTCCGAGCACAAGGAGGGCTACGTTTAACCTTCACCCTCAACAACAAGGTCATTCAGTGAGAGAGATGAACCCAGCCTGCCAGGAATTTAGCAAGATGGCCCAGAACAGACCTCGCCGTTCACAGATGGGCTGTTTCCGTGCCATGCGCTAATTCACTGATTTACTGTGCTGTGCAGGTTGGAACAGTAAGACGTTAAGGGCCATGTCCTAGCTCTCTGGAGGGAAGAAACAGAGAAAGATCTGAGCAGATTTTATCCCTGGAGTGGATGCCAGTTGCCGTCTGTAAATGACTGAATGTGACAAACTATTTGGTAGCTCAAACTGTGTGTGTTAAAATTTTCAAAGGATAAGCTCATGATGGTCACTATTAGTGAAAAGCTCCTCATCAGAAAAAACGACCTTACAATTTTCTTAAATTAAAAAGTTCACCGTCAGAATCATGGTGTCAGCATCTAGGATTAAAAGATTAAAATGTGCACTCAGAGAGAAAGTGTTCTTTACTGTAAAATACTGCCACAGCCACAAGTCTTTTTGATTTGTAGTTTTGGAGCGTTTCCTAAATCAGACTCAAAATCATCAGTTCTGTGCTCTGCAGCTGAACTCAGAGCTCCTGCAAGGATTTGCTTTTCTGCCCTTCCTTTTTCTTTGCCTACAAAGTTGTGCTTTCCTGGTGTAGATGCAGAAATCACAACTTTAAACAAACCGAATCCATTTTAAGAGCAAAGCTTTCCGAAGTTTGGGCTTTGAAAAACAAAGCAGTCCACATTTCAGCAGGCTAAAAACAGTGAAGCAAATCTGTAGAGAAACAATATTCTCAATAACATAGGTATTTTGAACTGAGCACTGTATCAGAGAGAATTTTAAATTAAAAGGCAATCAGTGTTAATTATCACATTTTTATAGAAAAGCTTGATTAGCTTGGACAGAGCCGAGAAACTTATTACAATTACAAATAGGCAATGATTTCTCACTGTGTAATATTCCTTGGCACTTGTCATCTGTTAATTCTACCAAAATATTCCTTGTATTTTAAAATAAACATAAGCAGCCTGCAGAGCTATCAAAGAGGGAACTGCTAATAACTATTTTGGCAAACAAGCACCAAAGTCTCCTTATCAGACTGTACTCCATTGCCTCGGACCCTCAAAACGAAACAGCACAGGAGATGACATACTGTGATCTGGTATCAAGCCAGTCCCTGGTCTCAGCAGCAGCAAAACTTTATTCCCTCCAGCCTGAATCAGCTCAATGGCTCGTGTGTGAGTGATTCCTTGGGTGGGTTCTCCATTAATTTCAACGATTTGGTCACCAACCTGACGAGAAAAGAGCAATCGGGTTAGTCTTTGTGAATCTTTGACATCGTAAGCTGCTTGAATGTGTTTTCATTCTGGATCATCGTATGGAGGGAGCTCGTCAAACCACGGATGAACCACGTCAAACCTGGCACCACGCGCCTGTCTCAAGTCCCTCTAACGAGGTAAGGAGCAGAGCAACTGCTCCACACTTACTGCAGAGCGGAACGCTGCCATGGCACAACGGGTTTTATGGAAGGAAAGGATTTTTTAATCCAGGTAGGAGAGATCACCACTCTGCAGTTATCAGTCCTGAGGTCTCTGAGGCCAATTAGCAACTTAGAGAGGTCCTGGGCAGGTAATTACAGCTCACATTAACTCTGCAGGCAGCTGGAAGGGGGTTGGATAGCACACCCGCAAAAAGTCATGAAACCTGTTTCGCAATACGTGGATCAGCCAATGGATGTCACTAGTACATAAAATTAGCCGTTTAAATTAGAGACTGACTGCGCTTTGTTAAACAAACTGTCTCTGCCAAAGGAGGTCACTGGCTGGTTACTCATCGGACAGGACAGGACGCTGCACGACTGCCTCCCGTCACGCTCAGCTGCCACTGACCGGGTGAGAAATTCCTCTTCGCTGTTTTAAAGCGCAGCCAGAAAACGACACCGTTTTCCAGCTGAGAAAACTGAATGATGTGAAAATGGTGAAAAACCTGATGCTGGGCGAGCGCAGCCCCTCTTGTGCTCTGAACTGCTGGGGACACACAGCAGAGCGGACGTGGCTGCATCCACCGCCGCAACGATCCCCTGCGCAGCACGGTGCTCGGTGGTGGAGGGGTTACACCAGAGTGCTGAGGGCCCACGTCCAGCGTGGGGGTCACCTTGCGAGAGCTGGGGTGCTTTCAGCCGCATCCCGCTGCCACCGTGCCCCCACCACCGCCTGCCTTCGTCCGCACGAAGCAGAGTGTGGTCAGCGGGGAGCCTGTTGGTTGCTCCTGCCCAGAAAGCAAAGCCCTGGAGCTCAGTGTAACACCACTTGAAGGAGCAATGCAAGAAAAAATACTAGTACTAAATGCTACACTCACATAGTCTCTCAAGCTGGAGGGGAAAAAGCTAATTACTGTAAAGAATTAGGATAATAAAAGTTAACAATACTTAAGACTTTCACATCCGATTAAGCCTCACAGTAGCCCCAGCAAGTGTCTGTGTCAGCCCTGTTGTGCAAACCACAGTACAAATGGAGGCAGAGCCTGGTGCCGGCGCCCACACGTGCAGCGAAGCACCAGGACTGCAGCTGGGACGGCATCTCACGGGCACCTGGCCCAGCTTCACGCTCCAGCTCTGAAAATTCAGCTCTGGGCAGCAGTCACAGATTCTCACGTACCATCGTTCTTTGCTATTGTACCCATAGATTTTGCTTTTCTACAAGATCTGAAAGTGAATTCCTTAAACATAAGAATTAACATCATAATGTTTGAAAAAAGGTAGGCTTACATCTTCAAATGTGGCACAGAACAGCAATAGCACACTGCATACACACATTCCTTGCAAATTCACTGACTTGGGCAACGATTCTCCTTTCAGCTTTCTGCTCCACCGTGCAATGTCTTGTCTGGGCTCCTAAAGTATCCTGAGTAACTGTGGCTCACGCCCTGGGACACGTACATTGCTGTAACTCAAGCAGGGGTGGACAGTTCAGTTTGGATGGCCAGAGCTCTCCTTTAAAAGCCACTGCATTTGCACAGGAACAGCTGGAAGAAGGGCAGCTGCCCAGATGCTGTTCTACCTGCTGGGACCCTGCCCTCATGAAAAAACAAAGTTTGTGGCCACTATGGGTAAATTAATGTGTCAAAAGGCCAACCCGATCAACAAATTGATTAGAGAGGACGGACTCACGTGTACTCTCCCATCTTTGACAGCTGGCCCATCTTCAGCAAGTCGAAGGATGAATAAGCCCATGTTGTATTCCTTCCCTCCCCGAAGGCTGAACCCAAACCCTCGAGGGCCCCTTTCCAACTCTACTGGGAAACAGCCAGGGTTCTGTGTGGGAAGTCAGAGGAAAAAAAAAAGATGAGGACCTGTAGGCAGATTTAAACATTTGTTTTTCTGGAAAAATGCTTCTCACATTTCTATATTTTGAGAAACATGCAATCCACGATTTGAACTGAATTCATCACAACTCATGTATGACTACATGTAACGGTTTCATTCTAAGACTAAACATACAGAACATTTTTCCTTCTAAGTTTTAGATATGCATGAAATTTCTTTAAGAAACATTGCCAAAGGGTCTGTAGTAGCCCTGTTGCATTTTCTGTTTCTTTTATCACGAGTATTCAACTACACTAAGGAGATAATAAAATTTAAAACATTAGCAAAAACATTCTGTGAAACACTTTAAAGCATTTTTATATGCAACTTTTCTACCCACGTCCGACAGGGAAATGTTTTATTGTTCTGCTTTGAAATACTCTGTGGCAATGCCACTGCAGTGTCTTGACGGACGAGTATTTTGCACATCTCCGTGCCCTCTGGATGGTTACTGTACCTGGGAGTGACGGCTGCCAACAACCGAAGCAACACCAGCATCGGATTGTGTCAAGTGCTTATGCTCGGGCCAGGAAAGTCTGTAACTACTTGAAACTTCTTTTCCAGTTTCACCTTCTGTAGCTCCCCTACAGAGAGGTAAAAGGACGTGGATGTTACCTTTGCGTTAACAATCCTCCCGGTGAAGCTTTTCTAGCTGTTTTCAGTTCCTTTTGCCAAACCCAAAAGCACTGTACCTGTCTGCACCGGAAGGGTTGATCTGTGCTGATCCCAGCGGTCGGTGCTGTGGAGCTGGACTCTGCCTGGCCGAGTTTGTTCCTGACGGAGGACCACGGTGTTCTAATAAATCCAAATAAAATTGACAGTCAGAGAGAACTTCCCAAACATAAAGCTGGCACGCTTGCCACGAGAGCACAGTGACCATCAGCGCTGTGTGCGCTGTTCCCAAGGATGCTGTGAGCTCAGCTCGCTGCAGTCACAAGGTGAAGAGGATTTTCCAAGGTCTAACACCATTAAGCCAGGAACCCAAGTGCAGTTCGTTGGTTCCATGGAATAAATTCCTAGGAATTTTATTCTTACCTACGCTGCTTTTCCTCAGAAAAACAAGACGATTTTAACTGAACCAGACGTGAACAGAAGGGTTTTAGACTGTCTGCAAGTTGATAAAGACCAGAAGGGATTAGGGCTAATCAGATCCATGAAGTTGGTTGGGATATTCAATATAATAAAATTTTGCAAGAGGTGAAGACTAATGCCCATTTGAGAACATACCCCTTTTTAAAGGTAAGAGGAGAATGAGGATCTGCAGGGGCAATGAGGATTCAGAGGTGAAGACCCTAATGATGGAGGGAAACGCTCAACTCGTTTAAGGCACAACGGAGAGTTTGATACCGGCCAGCTGTAGGAAAGGTTACACACTGGTCCCACAACCACGCTGGAGGGACTAGTCCATTGACAGGTTATCAGTGAGAATTGTAAAGTGTTTCACCTTCTCCCAACGGCTAAGGAAAAATTACAGCGTAATGACATTTTAATAAAATCTTCTAAAATAGCTTAAGATTATCTTCCCTTCCACACAAAATACAGTAATTGTACACTTCATAATAAATCCAGTGCATTTCTGAAAAAAAACCCCATGTTTCAGGATACAAAATGCCTCTGTCACTTAAGAGTAATGAACCATACTCTACGCAAAAAGCTGCCTCTTAGCTAGAGCCTGAAATGGCAAGTAGTGGCCCAAGATAAACTCATGTGCTGAATTATAACCTAATAAACTCCTTTTCCTGAGAAGGAGTTTATTAAAAAAAAAAATCCCAAGCACCCAAACTAGAGACGTTCCAGCCCTCTGGTAGGTCCATCACGTTACTGCGTTTCTCAGTTAAGGACAAACAAAACCCCAGTAAAACATACCAAGCGCTCGAGCATCTTAAGGGAAGGAAAACATAATGCCTATTATTAGACCGAATTTCTCAGGTATGCGAGACCTCTCGAGTCCTTCACGGGACTGCTTGGTGCTATTACTATGACATGCCTTAAAGAGGTTTTTCTCTAGAGACAAAATGTCAACTTTTACCCCTGGTTTATACTCAGAGTTTTAATTTAGAAGCACAGGCAAGAAAAACGCCATCTGTTTGTACAAATTCTCCAGTCCTCTTTTCAGCCTGCTCTCTTGTGTTTCCAGCTAATACATGACAAAAGCTGACAGGCTTCTGCTTTCGTGAAAAATGTTAAAGAATGTCTTCTGGCGCATGAAGTGGAATTCGTTTATTCATATGAAAAGCAAAGATCACACATCTGTGAAAGCTAGGAGGGAGAGGGAAGGGTACAAGGCAGTATTTTCACTGCCAGTCTCAGAGGACAGCACTGAGGACGATGCACCGGGGAACAGCAAACTCTATTAGGGTTTATGCTTTGTGATGCTGAACAGCTTCTGGCAAAACGGGCATTTTTCTCTCTGGAGTTACATCCTGCATCTTCCTCGGTGCTAACCACTGTCTTGCACACCATCCCTGCGAAGCTCAGGTCTCTCCCCGCAGCCCAGCGGGGAAATTCAGATCCACGCTGGCTTCCTACGGGAGTCTGTGGTGCGGAGGGGAATGCTGCGAGCTAAACCGTATTTCTCAGCTAAACCAAGGAGAATTTTAAGTGGTGGTATATTCCCATTTCTGTGGAACAGGTTCTGCTTCTCTCTTCTTCATGGCCACAAAATTCTTTACATCTGAAGCACGCCAAGTCCAGCTCCTCTAAGGCACACGTTTTTTCTGACTGGTCTGTTCAGTCTTGTTTTATCACCCACTCCTGACTTTCTTTTTCCCCTTCCCTCTCTTTGTTGGGTCTCCCCAGGTTCTTGTTTTATCTCTACATTTTGGGTCTAAACCTGTAATTGAGGAAGTGAGAAAAGCTAAGCTCTTACAGAGAGTCCAGGTAAAGTCATGCATAAATAAGGGACAAAAATGTTATATTCAGAAAGCTTCTTTTGAAAACAAACCCAATTAAGAGCCTCAGAGAAACAGATCTAATGCAACCAACTCAAACTTCAGATGCATTATAAACACTGCCCTGGGAAACTGCTTTGAGGTGTGTCCCTACAAACTGGAATGTATTAGGTTTATAAAAATTAAAATCTTAATGGAAAAATAACAATTTATAGAAGTCTCTCTGCTTTAAGCATTAACAAAAAGGAAAATCAAGTCTGAAACTCTGTATTACAGGTGAGCATGTTAAATATTTGCAATTAATGTGAAATTAGAGAATAATCTGTTGGCTTTATTCACATTCTGACTTTAGGTATTTATTATTTAAAAGGCGAAGAAAGCCAACTTTCTGGTAAAATAAAGATAGCAAATTTAATTAAACCCACAAGCAGCAATCCAGAAAAATGCAGCAGTAAGCAGGGCAGGAAAACAGCTTTTCTCTTCAAATGATTGGATTGCACATATTTATAGTGACTGTTTGTGTAGGAACAATACTGTATTGAACGCAGTGTTGCGTGGGAGCTTTCATTAAAAATACGGTCTCTAAAGATGGGACTTTGCAGCCACAAACACTCGCTTTGCTGCTTAGATGACATGGCAGTTGTGCGTGAAGAATTTGCTAGCAGCCTGGGGGGCTCTGCAGGAAAACCCTGAGCAAGGTTTTCACGGTGGGATGTGACCATTTTTCTAAGGGTAGTTTTGGCAGACAGAAGAACTACAGAATCTTTCTGTTATAGCCCAGGGACGCAGCGTTAGGCCATTTGTGTATTTTAACGTGGCAGGAAGGAAAACCTGAGTGCCTAAATGGAGAGGATCTGCAAAGCGGGTGTTCCTGCAGCCCCAGAGCACCCCAGCTCTGCCCAGCACAGCCGCTCCAGCGCGTCTCAGTAGCACGTCCCACATCTGGAACAAAGAGATGGGCACTGCCTGGGGGCGACAAGATTTTCTTGCTGAGCCTCATCCCATGTCTGCTGTAGCTTCCCCATCTCTCATATAAGAAACCACGAGCATTTCTCTTACCCTGCATCGTGTCATTAATACTTGTACCTTACTTTTTAGTAGAACCACCTTGGCAGCTGGCTGTCTCTGCCCCACCTGCCTTCAGCACTTCCAGAGCAAATGGCTGAGCTTCAGTCTCTTTTCTTTAATTTCCAAACATCTTAAAATACTCCACTTTAAGTGAATTAACTTCAGAAGTTACAAACATCAGGCTTTGGTAGTGTGATAAGATCCATCCACCTTCTGGGGCCACGCACCCTCCTTACCTTCCTCGGCCACGACAGTCAGAGTCACCACGTTGCCCGCGTCCTTGATCAGCTGCACTATGCTGTCGTGCGAGAGCTCAACGATGGATTGACCATTCACCGCCGAGATGCGGTCTCCCACTTTCAGCTTCCCGCACTGGTCAGCTGGGCTCCCATCTATAACTCGCCCGATCTTGTGAGGAATCACTAGGAAATCAAGAACAAACATGGCAACACGATTAATATTCATGTCAGATAAGCATCACCCAGACCCAGAATTGCCAGAGTCATCCCAGAGACCGCTCCTGCTCCCAAGGACAGCACTGCTGGCACAAGAAAAGCCAGAAGAAACCTCCGCTCAGCAGAGTGAATGGAAACGCCAGCCCCTGGCCGCACGGCCTTGTCACGTACAAGTTGTGCCTAAAGGAAAACACAGCAAAGAAACGGGTCAGATCTGCAAAGGGATGAGTAAGACCACGTGTCCCAGGAGCGCTCTGAAACGGTTTGTTTTGCAGCTCATAATCTATTGTTTTCCATTTCACGCAGAGACCCTGGAGCACTGCGTGGACTCAGAGAGTGTTACGCACAATCCAGTTTAATAGAAATCTGGATGCACGGGTTGTCTCTTCCTCCTTGCAAACAAAAATTAAGCCTTAAATACACTTCAAAAGGAACTCAAACTTCTCCTGCCAGAGACTAGCTTGGTTACTAAGCACTGGTGAGCATCTCGGCATACTCAAGCAGCACAGCAAGGTGTGCTAGCTCAGCTCTGCACAGACCTGTTCCCTGTTCCT